ATAGTTGTACCTCAAGTTTAGATCTTATTTCATTCCAGACTGCTGTTCAAGTACTGTTACTGAACGAATTTCTTCCCATCAGGAATAATGTAAATTAGATTAATCTGTTTCAGACCCCCAAAAATACACTTACAAAAGCACTTACAAAAATACACTTACATAATTGGTCGAGTTAGGAGCAGTTCTAAACTCGAGGTACCACTAGTTAAACTTATACTGTAAACCTGTATAGACAGTATTTAACATACAACTTAAACTAAAGCATTCTTAAAAGATTAAAATTCTATCATTTCACTTATACTGAAAATTTCATGATATCACATAAACAAATGTCAGAGAGCCATAGCATTTTGTGACAAGATGTATTTCGTAGGTCACTTGCTAGTGCACTCAACTCACACATTGAGGTCCATGGTTCAATCCCTAATATGGGTGGAAACATTAGAATAATGTGTTTCCTTAAGGCACCTGCTGTCCATGTTCACCTAGCAGTTAAATAGGTACCTGGGTGTTAGTCGACTGGTGTGAGTTGTATCCTGGGACAAAATTGACCTAATTTGCCCGAAATGCTCTGTATAACAAGCGGCTTTCTGTATAGTGGTATGTCATTGATGTCAGCTATGGTCTATACATTGTACATGTACTTGTAGAAATAAAGATTATTATTATTATTATTTCAGATAGAAGTGATCTAGATAATGGTTTCTTGAGAGGTAGTTTGTATTAAGCTGTGAAAATGCCAGTTTCTCAAGAATTAATTTTTAAATTTTTAAAGATCTTGCTATATCTGCCAGTTCTTCTTGCTTGGAAGATGCATTATCCTCCAATATCAATATTTTTTCCTCTTGTCTCTATTGGCCAGATTCAAATTGTCTTCTAGCTCTTCTACATTAAAAAAATGCTACAACATTCTTCTATCATTTATCTTAGATTTCACTGACTTTAATTTTTTTTTTTTTTTAAATATAGTCAACATTCCACCAACACAAATTGTTGTTCTCATTTGAATTTACAAATAATTTCTGGTTAAACAATAATGTTTTTGAGGTATCTAGACTACTCTTGGTTTGAATTAACTTCATATTGCCTTGCTTAGTTTTCCAAGTTTTGAAATTTGACATTGTCTATACCAGTAGCTTCAACAGATTTATCCTTCAAATATTTAAGGTATATAGCTAAACTTTAGTGAATTGGGCTTACCATGAATATTTACCATGTAAACTTGAGACAAGGATTATTTTAACAACACTCGCAGGTAGAAACATTCAGCTTTTATTTTTGTTACTGAGTTCTTTCTTAATATAAGCGGTCACCTTCTATACATGGGTCCAAATAGCATCCTGCCAACAATATTGAAAAAAAACGTACGTTATAGAGCAAGCTTTTATTGGTGCTATGTTTCAATTTGTGTAGAGCTTTTATCATATCTATGCTCTACACAGAGTAAAATGTTGTTGCAATAAAAGCTTGTTCTGCAAACTCTCTTTCCTTCGCCTTCCATACATGCACATTTTTATGCTGGTCCAGAACCACACTTGACTGGCTTACATAAAAAAAAAGTAAGTGTCTCACTTTAATTTTTGTATCTTTTCTTCATTTGAAAGGGGTTGTTTTGTGTTCTGATTTTCATTATAACTATTATAGGCAAATCCTACACTACCAGGGTGCAGTGTAGGATTTAGCTTAGATTCTGTGATATAAAAATTTTTAAGGCTGTTATTGCAAATAATGTAGCAGAGGTGGTGTGTTGGATATTAATGTAAAATAATATTACTTTAGTACCTATAACCTATTATTTGGCATAAACAGATGTAATTGCTATTAGGACAATTAAGTGTGTTGAAATCTGTATTATGCAGAGTAAGAGACATTGATGACATAAATCATGAATCACTTCCTTGGGTATTGGTAGTGAGAATCTTCTTGTCAAAATTTCATTGACATATGGCCTGAATGGGTTTGTTCTTTTTAGTGAATCAAATTTGCAGTGCAGAGAAAGATTTAATGTAATGGTGTCAATGAATAGTGATGTAAAATATGGTAACTATTTGTGGGTGAGTTTTGAGTTTGCAAAATATGGGGATGATGTGAGGGAGTTTTGGGGATTCTCAAGTGATTGTGCAGAACTGTGTTGAATGGAAAGAGAAGTAATGTACCTATTATGAAATTATATCTTTGAGAGATTTGTTCAAAGTGCATTAAAACTTTTCATCTTAAATAATAATAGCCCAGTTAATAATGGAAAGCACAAAATCACCATTCTACTCTACCATGTACGTATATTTAAGAAAATTTAAAGTAGCACAGTTAGCATGAATAGAGAAGCACAAGATATTGTCATAAAAGGTCATGCTTTTTAGAACATATCTTGACATTGCAATTATCCAGGGAAAAATTGTAGTTAAAATAAGAAAAAGATGTAAACAGAATTTTTATTGCTAGGTAATTTCTTTTATATTAATTATGGAATATGAGAGCATTTTTACTGTATAGAGTATGTCTTGTGTTTCTTTGGGTCACCCTTCCTTAGTGGGAAATGGTTGATGTGTTAAAAAAAGTGATTGTGCTGAAACTGGCAGAGGTGTGAATTGGAAGTCCAATTTGAAATAAACCAAGAATTTAAAATGTCAGTGTCTGTAATGATGAAACACTTGAAAATTCTGACATGGAGTTTGATGTAGAAGAGTAAGCTTAGAATAAAGTAAATGGGGACAGGGTATGGCAGTGGTGATGTATGATGATATCATTGTTATGTCTGATGTGATAACAGAAATACTACTTAAGATGAATTAGTGGAATATTTGATAGGAAAATATGGATAAAATTAAAAACAGTTGTATGAAGTAAAAAAGTTAAAGAGTGTGAAATAAAGTTTAATGTAGGAAAGTTGGGTGTTCTTGAGAGTACCTGGAAAATATTTTATTTGGTGGAGGCAGAAAGGGGAGTGTATAAAAGTATATTGGTACTAACATACTTCTTTTCTTTCAACCCACCGGCCGTATCCCACCGAGGCGGCGTGGCCTAAAAGAAAAACGAAAGCACTAACATACTTACATGAGTGTAAAGTATAGGTTGTGAATGTTGCAGCAAGGAGGAGGCTGGAGGTAGTGAATAGGTGTCTGAGAGCAATGTGAGGTGTAAATATTATTCAGGAGGTACAAGGTTACTAAAATTATTATCCAAACGGCTGAGGAGGGGTTGTCAAGGTTGTTTGGACATTTAGAGAGGATGGAGCAAAATAGTGGAGGGAAGCCAGGGTAGGGGTCACCTTAGGAAAGGTTGGAGGTTTTGTGTGAGATTGGCTTGGACATCCAGCAGGTGTGTGCGAGTGTGTTAGGAGTGGGACAAATGGTTTTTGAGACTTGAATAGCTGCTGGGGTGTGAGCAGGGTAACATTTTGCGAAGGGATTCGGGGAAACCGGTTGGCTGAACTTAGACTTCTGGAGGTGGAAAGTACAGTGCCTGCACTCTGACGGAGGGTTAGGGATATTTGCGGTTTGAAGGGGCATCTGAACTAGTAGTATCGGCACACCTCTGGAAAGACGGTGATAGAGCGAATGATGGTGAAAGTGTTTCTTCTTTTTTGCGTCACTCTACCCGGTGGAAGATGGCCAGTAGTATATTAAAAAAAAATACGAATGTTGAGTAGGTATCCCTTGTTGTATAGTGTAGATGCATTCCAGCCCTTTGGCATTTATACTGTGCTCAATCAGGCCACAAATGCTTAATTTCTCATAAGAATCTTGTGTAACAATAACAAATGGCAGTAATGTATCATATATACAGAATTACTGAAAAGTAGGACTTCTCATAATAAAGCCACTTAAAGCAAATCTTCACAAAGTGAGGATAGCCCTACACAATAAACGAAGGCCCTTAAGGATATAGTTGGTGCACTAAAATGAGGATTGTGAAGGATAAAGACTTGAAATTTTCATGAAAGCTTATTTTAAGGTATTGTTCAGCTTACTCTGATGGTCATGAAATAAGTAAAATTGAGGTGAAGAGGATGTGAAATAAATACTATATGGAAAACAGTTTGTTTGAATCTATAAACAATATAAAGGATATATGCACATGGTAAAAAAAAAAGGATAAGCATTGTAAAATATTAATTAAATACTGTTTTGTGGTGTAGCACTTGTAGTTAGTGATGTGGTAAACAAGGAAGAAACTTGAGAGAGGTAGAAAGTTTTAAGTGAGGGAATATGTCAGTGACTGAGTGTATGTGAAGTTATGCAAGAATTGTTTTGTAAAGTTTTGTCACAAGTGTGGGTTAAACTTGTAAGTTATATAACTCTTGGGGTATGGGAGGGCTGGAGTAAAGAAATTTGATCTTTGGAAAAGAAGGATACATCCAGTTCCTGGATCAAGAGCCCTTCACCAGCACCAAGGAAATCCCCCTTTGAAAGAAAATATGCTAGTAAAGAAATGCTTAGAGATGCTGCACTTGTCACCCTTCATGACAATATAATGATAACAGAGATAAGAAATTATTTATTTGTAATTATTTGAGTTTGCAAGGGTTTCTTGGTCCCACTTTACTTTTAGTCAATTGATATGATTGTGAATGTAGGTGAGAGTGTATCAGGTAAGCAGGTGTGCAAGGGATGAGAGGATATACATTCAGTATGTACATAAAAGCTTGCAGTAGGTGAATTAAGTATTTCAAATTTGGTGCAAAGAGCAGAAATTTTATTTCGTTATACTGTATGTAGTAACTCCAACACTAAGAAAAAATATTTTGCATGCTTGTGTTTAAATATCCAAATACTGTGTACTATGAACACAACAAGGCACTGTATAACCCTTGTGGGTTTAGTGCTTCCCTTAATTTTTATAATGATAATAACATGATTGCACAGGTATAATTGTTTATAAATGCTCATGTCTGTGTAAATTTGGTTAAATTTTGTTGTCCTGGTTATATGTAAAGATGTTTCATTAGTATAATTTTAGTTACAATTGCAGATGAAAACTCTAATTATTAATATTCACAGAATGCTCCCATGTTACCTACAAAGACCAATGCAGAGAGACTAGCTGGCCAGGCTAAACTTCGAGAACAGTTTCCAGTGTCCAGTGGGTCTCAACATCGCACAAAAGGTAGTTCTCCGTTGTCTTTAGTTTAGTAATTCTTAAAATTCCTGAATCATTCACACTATATAAACTATGGCAAGAATAGTTACTTTAATGGTGAAAACAATACATACAGTGGACCCTCGGTTATCGGCCGTAATCCGTTCCAAAAAGTCGGCCTAAATCCAAAAAAGGCTGAAAACCAAAATAATATTTCCCATAAGAATTAATGTAAATCCAATTAATCTGTTTCAGACACCCAAAAATATTAATAAAAATACATTTTTTAAAGATTAACTATAGTTTTACGTACAGAAAACAATGAGAAATAAATACAAAGCACAACTTTTAATGATAAATGAACATTACATACCTTTATGGAAGACTCTTGTTGGCGTATTGAAGAAGGCAGGAGAGGAGAGGGAGTTGGGAATCCCCTACTCCCTCTCCCATCTGTGTAGTGTAGCCCCCCTAGGCTACACTACACAGCCATATTATTACACTACACAACCTTATTATTACCATGTTCACTTGGGTTTAATCGTTTCTAACAACTACCTTTAGATGCCATCATAAACAAAGGGAGAAGTAATGAATAATTCATGCCGAGAATTGTAAACAAACGCATATGAAGGGTGGTTACTGGGCAAGACGCCAGATTCACAATTTTCACTAACACTGAATCAGAGAAAGCGAAATGTTTACTCTCGACCCGACTCTCCACTCGATAGCATATAAACATTGCATGTTTATATGCTATATGCTATGTAACGTTTCTTATAATATAATTTTTAAGAAAATATCATAGATGGATTAATGAAAATGTCTGTATTACCCTAAAATACGACAATGTGCCCAAGAGTGATCATTGTAAAACATACATTGCATATAAACATTGGATGTTTTTATATACTGTGTAATGTGCTTCTTGTATAATTTTGAAGAAAGCATCATAATATTTCCAATATATTTTTAAATGTTTATACAGTAGTGTACTATGTATTCTAATAAACAAATAGAGGAAATCAGCTCTAATATACGTTACTTAAATTAGGTATGCACACAGGTCAGAGAGCCCTTCGTAAGTCCAAGTCGTTGGTAAACGAGTATGTCGATAAGTGAGGAGAGGCTGTAATAAAAGTATCTACTGATGACTCATCGTGTAGTCAAAAAGAGATCTTAATCGTATCCTGAGGCAGTCTACCTAAGTTGGGTAGTGGTCCGTAGTGTTGTCTGTGACTATGCCTGCTTTTAGTGGGGATATAGTATTGGTCCAGATATGATCAAGTAGTGAGGCACTTGTCTCTGTGATTCTTGTTGGTTTATTTATAAATAGTAGTAGCAAGCAGGTGCTCATAGTGTTTGTGAAATCAGTTACTTGGGGGTCAGCTGCTTGAATGAGATTTATGTTATAGTCAGCAGCAAGTAGCAGGTAGTGTTTATTCATCTCTGAGTCAGTTATTGTGTTTCTTAGCCCTTAAATGGTCCAAACGTATATATACGTTTTTTCAACATCTGAAAGTATGTAAAAAAATGTAGATCTTCTTTTTTGTTTTACATTTGAAAACGTGTAAAAAAACTTTTATCTACATTTTTTTTTGTTACATTTGAAAATATGTTAAAAAATGTAGACCTACTTTTGTAGCACTGCGAATTTGAACGTCGATCTGTTTGGACCGTTTAAGGGTTAAGTTGCCACTAAATGTGTAAGTATTAGTGTGAGGTAGTCTGTAGACTGCTCCACCTGCTATGTTTTAGGTTTTTGGATGTGAAATTGGCAAATAAATATTCACCATATTCATCCCTGGTGCAAGTCGATTTAATACATTTTAGTTCATTAGAGTAGTAGATAGCAGTACCTCCTCCTGATTGATCAGGCCTGCAGTTGTGTATGGCTTTGTAACCGGGTAAGGCAAAGATATATCTGTTTAGATTATGTTTGAGCCAGGTTTCAGCGAGAATGATGAAGGATATGTTAACGTTTAGAGAATTAACCCTTTGAGGGTTTTGGTCGTACTAGTACGTCTTACGCGTAGGGGTTTTTGACGTACTAGTACTCATAAATTCTAGCGGCCTCAAATCTAGTGGGAGAAAGCTGGTAGGCCTTCATATGAAAGAATGGGTCTATGTGGTCAGTGTGCACAGTCTAAAAAAAATCCTGCAGCACACAGTGCATAATGAGAAAAAAAAAACTTTGAACCATTTTTTTTTAATAAATCAGCGACTTTGCAGTGTATTTTCGTATGGTATTTATTGTTGTATTCTAGTTTTCTTGGTCTCATTTTATAGAATGGAAGACATATTACAGAAATTGAGATGATTTTGACTGGTTTTACAATGAAAGGTGCCTTGAAATTGAGCTCAAAGTAGCAGAAATGTTCGATTTTTACCAAACTTCAAAAGTAAACAAATCGTGCCAAGCGTGCAATACACGTCAACTGGTGAGTCTGATATTCTTTCACAAGTGCACCCAATAATATTTATACCATTTTTTACACTAATGCAGTAGTCTGCATAACAGTAAATCTTATATTTTTTGTGAGAATAAAAATTCAAAGTGGAAAGCAAAAGAATATAAGAGGGGCCTTGAGACGTGACTAATGACTAGAGGAAATGTCATTTTAGTGCCAGGAATGTCTTTCTTGTTTATTCTGGACCCTATTTGGAAATTGGCATCTTTTGAAATTTGTGTGAAATTGGCAAAATTGCTAAATTCTGACCACTGTACTGGATAGTTGAATTTATAAATGGGTGGTTTATTGCACCCATTCGATAGAAAAAATGGAGTTCTAGCGAAATATTCATGTTTTTTGTCGACTAGTACAGTGAAATTGGCCGAAAATGGGGCTCAAAGTGAGCAAAATCGCCGATGCGTAAACATCGCCAAGACCGCTAACTTTGCGAAGGCATAATTTCGTAAGTTTTCTATCAAATTTCAAACTTTTGGTGTCTTTATGATCGGGAAAAGATTCTCTATCTTTTCATAAGAGAAAATAATTTTTTTTTTTTTTTAAATTTGGCCGACCCTGAGAACGAGTTTCGGAGAGGGCCTGTCGACCCTCAAAGGGTTAAGAAGTGCAAGGTTATCATAGTGTTTACTAATGAGCTGATATTGCAATTAAATATAAGAGATGATTGTGGATGTTATGAATGAGAAGAAGCTGGATGTCCTGGCTTTAAGTGAAACAAAGCTGAAGGGGGTGGGAGAGTTTCAATGGAGAGGAATAAATGGGATTAGGTCAGGGGTTTCAAATAGAGTTAGAGCTAAAGAAGGAGTAGCAATAATGTTTAAGGATAAGCTATGGCAGGAAAAGAGGGACTATAAATGTATAAATTCAAGGATTATGTGGAGTAAAATAAAGATTGGATGTGAAAAGTGGGTTATAGTAAGCGTGTATGCACCTAGAGAAGAGAGAAGTGTAGAGGAGAGAGAGAGATTCTGGGAAATGTTGAGTGAATGCGTGGGGAGTTTTGAATCAAGTGTGAGAGTAATGGTGGTTGAGGATTTCAATGCTAAAGTGGGTAAAAATGTTATGGAGGGGGTAGTAGGTAAATTTGGGGTGCCAGGGGTAAATGTAAATGGGGAGCCTTTAATTGAGCTATGTGTAGAAAGAAAGAAATTTGGTAATAAGTAATACATATTTTATGAAAAAGAGGATAAATAAATATACAAGGTATGATGTAGCACGTAATGAAAGTAGTTTGTTAGATTATGTATTGGTGGATAAAAGGTTGATGGGTAGGCTCCAGGATGTACATGTTTATAGAGGGGCAACTGATATATCAGATCATTATTTAGTTGTAGCTACAGTTAGAGTAAGAGGTAGATGGGAAAAGAGGAAGGTGGCAACAACAAGTAAGAGGGAGGTGAAAGTGTATAAACTAAGGGAGGAGGAAGTTCGGGCGAGATATAAGCAACTATTGGCAGAAAGGTGGGCTAGTGCAAAGATGAGTAGTGGGGGGGTTGAAGAGGGTTGGAATAGTTTTAAAAATGCAGTATATAGAATGTGGGGCAGAAGTTTGTGGTTATAGGAGGGTGGGGGCAGGAGGAAAGAGGAGTGATTGGTGGAATGATGAAGTAAAGGGTGTGATAAAAGAGAAAAAGGTAGCTTACGAGAGGTTTTTACAAAGCAGAAGTGTTATAAGAAGAGCAGAGTAAAAGAAAGGTGAAGAGAGTGGTGAGAGAGTGCAAAAGGAGAGCAGATGAAAGAGTGGGAGAGGCACTGTCAAGAAATTTTAATGAAAATAAGAAAAAATTTTGGAGTGAGTTAAACAAGTTAAGAAAGCCTAGGGAAAGTATGAATTTGTCAGTTAAAAACAGAGTAGGGGAGTTAGTAGATGGGGAGAGGGAGGTATTAGGTAGAGGGCGAGAATATTTTGAGGAACTTTTAAATGTTGAGGAAGAAAGGGAGGCGGTAATTTCATGCACTGGCCAGGGAGGTATACCATCTTTTAGGAGTAAAGAAGAGCAGAATGTAAGTGTGGTGGAGGTACGTGAGGCATTACGTAGAATGAAACGGGGTAAAGCAGCTGGAACTGATGGGATCATGACAGAAATGTTAAAAGCAGGGGGGGATATAGTGTTGGAGTGGTTGGTACTTTTGTTTAATAAATGTATGAAAGAGGGGAAGGTACCTAGGGATTGGCGGAGAGCATGTATAGTCCCTTTATATAAAGGGAAAGGGGACAAAAGAGATTGTAAAAATTATAGAGGAATAAGTTTACTGAGTATACCAGGAAAAGTATACGGTAGGGTTATAATTGAAAGAATTAGAGGTAAGACAGAATGTAGAATTGAGGATGAGCAAGGAGGCTTCAGAGTGGGTAGGGGATGTGTAGATCAAGTGTTTACATTGAAGCATATATGTGAACAGTATTTAGATAAAGGTAGGGAAGTTTTTATTGCAATTTATGGATTTAGAAAAGGCATATGATAGAGTGGATAGAGGAGCAATGTGGCAGATGTTGCAAGTATATGGAATAGGTGGTAAGTTACTAAATGCTGTAAAGAGCTTTTATGAGGATAG